GAAGTGTACCTGGCGTATAAGACGACCCCCCACTTGGAGGCATATTTTTCAGGGCCAAAAAATCGTCTTATACGCCGGCAAATACGGTACTTCAACCATTGCTGCTCACAGGCCTGATCATATGACAGTTGAAGCAGCCAGGGGAGACCGACAAGGGTCTCACTACAAATCCTTGAGAAAGAGCCTGGCCCGGGAGGGGTGATGTACATCCTGACCTCAGCTGCTTGGTCTGGAGATGGGTGTCATGTGGTCCTCGGCCCACTCGGCTGGGCTGAAGGAGTAGACTTTGAGAAAGGAGCATGGGAGTTTCCCTAAAACAGGGAGCTGGCTACAGAGGGAAGGGACAGGCCATTCTCATCTCCAGTTCATTTGCCCCTTCTCTCAGTCTAGTTGTACTTAACAGTAGTGCCAACATTGAATTTTTATCTCATTTTATAAATCATACTGTCAGTCCCTGAGGGTAAGGGTTGATTTTTAATATCAAGTGTGCTTTTCTCACAGCTAGAGAAGAAAGTGGGCACTGAGTAATTGCTCATTTATTTGAACATGGTAGGATCCTTCCCCTACCCCTTTTCCTCCATGGGCAAGTTATCTCTTTATAGGTGAATCTTAATGGAAGAGAATGTAAAGACTTGAAAATTTATCATCTTAAATCAAGTCTTAGGTTTTTTTTTTCTTTTCTTTCCAGATTTTCCTGAAAACAAACTGCCAAGAGAGGAATGGGACACAAAACTAAGCACATTTATACTTATGATTTGCATATTGGCATTTCATCACAGTAGCTGAATTTATAGATATACTATATAGATTGTATACAGAACTGAGACTGATTTTGTACAGATTAGAATAATTGCTATGACCTTGGCTTTGAGAAATTTTTCTGTACTATTTGCACTAAAAATGTTTATTTATTATTGATAAATCCTATCATATTTAAGTTCCACTGCTATTCCTCTCTTATTATTAAGTACCTATGCATGTAATTTTAGCTAGTTTTAATATTTTATGAAATCACTTCATTTAAATTTGTATTTTTAATTTGAAACTGCCTCATTTCTTTATCAAGAATGGCTTGTTTAGATTTCTTCAACCTTTTTTGAAAAATTACTGTTTTCAACTATAGGAAGACTCTTATTTCTCCTCTTTCTTTCTGGATGATCAAATTTCAAAAACATTTTGTTTTATATATTCCCAGTGTCAGGAAACACCAAACCTGCCAATGTGCCATCTCAAGAAACTAAATTTTAATATGTATAATAAATCAAAAGAATAAACCAGCTGCTCTTATATATTGTTGTTTTGTTTTTTAAATGAAAGATGCATTTAAGAAGCAATACAGGTAAATAAATATTTTACCTAATAGAAAAAAATTGCCTTTCACTTAAACTAGCCCAACATAAACTTTCATGCTAAATTTTTTTTTTTTTTTTAAGATTTTTATGGGGGAGTTGGGGGATGGGAACAGACAAGTTGCTGTCCTTTTGTTCTTCAGTCTAGTTGTGGAGGACTTTGCTTCACTGGCCCAAGTTGGCACCATCATTGCGCTCTTCCCNAGACCACACACAAGTTTGATCACCCGTCAAAAATTATTGGAGCTTGGATGGGATGTGTTGCCACACCCACCATACTCGCCTGACCTTGTGCCGTCAGACTTCCACTTGTTTCGCTCTCTTCAAAACTCCTCGAATGGTATAACGTTCAATTCAGATGAGGCTGTAAATCAGCACCTTGTTCAGCTTTTTGCAAATAAAGTCACGTCCTTCTATGAACGAGGAATTGTGAAGCTCACTGAAAGATGGCAAAAGGCTATCGAACAAAACGGGCAATATATCATTGATCTTAGTTCTTTATATAAGTAAAAGACCTTTGAACAACAACATAGACAAAATACGTCATGACTTTTCCGACAACCCAATATTTCTAATTAAAGAAAAATAAAACGTCTGCTTAGTACCTTGCCCTTTGAGAGAGTCCTAAATATTTAATTTCTCTAAAACATCACTTTTTAAAAATAACCTTTTGTTACTAAACTTTGTAAAACATATGTGTTATATATATATCTATGCATACCCTGTTAAGGAAAGAGAGGCAGATTTTATTATCCCCATTTTCCATGGGAGAAAAAACTAACTTTCTTTGAAATTCAGGGACATTAATGACTATGTGTGCGAGCAATAGTAAGGTATTGAGTTTTCATCTGTTGTACTTTGGGGCTATATAACTGTCCCTTCAAGTTTTTGTTAAGCTTCCTGGTACAATGGTAGGATTTATTTTCATATTTTTAAAACACAAATATTTGATATTACATAATCAGAACCTGATATCAAGGATCAGAGTTATTTTTACATTCTGGAAGTTTACAGGTAAAGGTTGTCTTTCAAACAAAGTTAATTTTTGCTTTTTTGATTCTTAAATTCTCAACTGCCTTAAGCATTCAAAACTTAAATAGTGTCAACAGGTTAAAAGAATCTTACTTAGAGTTCTGTCATAATGTGGGAAATAGTGGTCAAATTGTTGGAGAAGTGACAGCTATTTTAAATCATTTATCTCCTAGATTTGCCACTGTAGAAGAGCCAAGGAAGAGAAACTTCAGCAGGTGATAACAGCGCACAGCCAGTTTCCTGCTCCACTGTAGGTAAATTGTACTCCGAAAGGATTCAGTCTTAAGGCTATTGCACAGCTATTCTTTTTTTTTTCTTTTTGCACGCTATTCTTTAATTGAGGTGTGCTTACCAGTGTCTGCTCAGCCCACTTTAAGGGCAGCACTGTCATCATAGCTATTGTGCTATATCACACAGAACATCTTGCATTATACTATATTAAGCATAATGTTATACATATAAGCTTATAGCCAGTATAAATCTTTTGGATATTTTCTCAGTATGATGTTGGCTTAAATATTCTTGTCAACATTTGATAACTGCTTATGTAGTGTTGTAAATTATAATTAGTTCCTTTCTCTTAGCTGGTGTGTGGAGTATACCATATCACTTAGTTGACATTTTCCCAATAGTCTACTTTGTCATTCCTTCCTGTAAAATGGACTCCAGTCTGCCCCTTTTCCATCTCACACCAGGATTATTCCAATAATTTTTTGGCCAGTCAGTCCCCTGCCTTTAGGATTTCTCCTTCCTGCACAGCACTGATGGAATAATCTCCCTACATTACTATCCTGTGATACAGTTTCTCTGTCCTAGAACATGTAATGAGCCCCTAGCAATGACAGCACCAATGCCAAATATCTCTCTCTGGTTTTCAGCTTTCTATTATAATCTGACGTATATTTGAGATCATCCATTTTAGTTTTCCATTTTTTCCTTGTGTTGTCTCACATGTCATATTCTTGTTCTCTACACCATGTCTTTGTTCATGCTTTTACCTGATCTCAAGACACCCTTCCTTTTCCTCTCCATCTATCGTGTTCAGGGAATGGTTTAGTTGCAAGAACTGCTTCCCACCCCAACAAGTTTAAGTAAAAGCTATGTTACTGGATAATGCTGGGATACATTATAGAGCCAAATACAAGCCAGTACAGCTCAGTCACCTGAGAGTGAAAACAGGACCTGAGGCCACAATAACCAAAGCAGCTCCTCTTTCTCAGACTCTTTCCGCAGCTGATTGTTTCTCGTTTCTGCATCTCTGTTTTTTCTGTCTCACTCTCATGTGCTTTCTCACTTGCTCTTCAGAGAACCTTTCTTTGCAACACTTGCACATACCGTATTTGCCGGCGTATAAGACGACTGGGCGTATAAGACGACCCCCTAACATTTCCACTCAAAATACAGAGTTTGTTATATACTCG